CTCTAACGTACACGACGACCGGCTTGAACCACAGTATCTATCCGGAGACGTCACCGATGGAGATATACCAATCAAAATGCTTTGTGCCTGTGGAACAAGTAGAACAAATCGGGGGTTACAGGGGGGTGCGCAAAATTTTCAGACAATCTGGTTGAGGCTCACATGCAGGTCTAAGAAGTTGTCTCTACTCCCTAATTTGCGAGACTGACTGAATTATAATTGGTGTGTTCACAACGTAATGGTGTGTAACGACAAAGGCGGTTTGGAGGGGGGGGAGGGGGCTCGGTCAGAGATGGAAAGCTATAAATTTTCGACAGGTAAGGGGGAGGGGCAACTGGATAAGCGTAGATGTTGAGCCTCATGATAGGATAATAAGTGAAAATGGCATGCCTCATGCCACTATGCACTGTGATAGGTCATCAAGGTTAACCGCTATTTGCTCGCCATATGTCATAAACCGACCAAGCGGTCACGTCAGTTCATTTTAGAGTGGAGGAAGACCATTTTACCGATTGTAAGCCTTAACATGGGTCACCATAGATTCTTCCCTGGGTTCGTCGGTTAAGATCCCGGTTCGCCTAAGATCCCACATTTCCTTGCTCCCGAGCACCGGGATCTTAGGCGGAGACTACTGTATTTGTAATTTTGAGCGCACAATGCTCTAAGACTGACAAGTGGGACAAAGGCTTTTTGAGTGTATTTTGTAGTCTCCCCTTCTTTCACTAAACCACTGTTTGATATACCAAATTTATTTGTCGTTTGATAGTACAATTCATTGATGGCTCTTGTTTCAGGATGCATCTTCTTTGAGTTTACAATTTTCAGTTTGTCAACTTTTCATTAGAACACATGCAAAGATCTTAATTTTGACAGTATGATCAAGGTTTGATATTTTACATTATATTTATGTATTCTGTTGGTTTTTTTTGTGTTGAATATATCCTTGGTGTCTGTTGAAGGAGACATTAACATTTGACTTTTTCTTCTGCTAGACTGAGGCACCAGGTGAAGAGAAAAGACAGCAGCATCAAAAAGAACTTGCTCAGAGGCTCAATGAGGAGGCGAGAGAGAGACTGAGGGGGTTGACTTCCGGAGGAGAGGACAAGAAGTATGTTTGAAAATGAAGACAGCGGAAATGTACATAATTAGAAGAAGGGGCAGGCCCAGGAAATGATTGATTTTGGATTGGGGGGGGGGGGGGGGGGGGG